GGACTGAGGCTCGGGCTTTTCCTTGTTAGGGTCCTCTCCCGTGGACTCCGTCTGGGGCTTCTCCTTGTTAGAGTCGTTTCCCGTGGACTGAGGCTCGGGCTTCTCCTTGTTAGGGTCGTGTCCCGTGGACTGCGTCTGGGGCTTCTTATTAGGGTCGTTTCCTGTGGCCTGCAACTCGGGCTTCTCCTTGTTAGAGTCGTCTCCCGCGGCCTGCGGCTGGAGCTCCTCCTTGTCAGGGCCCTCGCCCGTGGCCTGTGGCTTTAACTTGTCGGACTTTTCTAGTGGTAAGGAAACTGAAATAAAGAAACCAGTTGGTTTCAGAGCTAGAAAAGACTGAGGCAACAACCAAACGGGCAGGCGGGTGATGGCAAGCGGAGGGGTGTCTATGGCAGGGAAGACCCGCGGTGACGGTGGGGGGTCTGGGGGTGGCAGTTGGATTACTGGGGGTACCGGGAGGGGGGGTCTTACCCGCCGCTGCGACGCTCAGCAGGACCAACGCAACCAGGATCCGCATCCTGCACAGGCTGTGCTTCCGCCCTCTACTGCTCTCGCGAGATCCGTCCGCGCAGTCTTAGTATTCTTAGCTCCGCCCCTTCCTGCGTGCGTCTTTCCGCCGCAACCGCGGTGAGGGGAAGTGGAGAGGTAGGGGAGGGCCGGAGTGGTCGGTGTTTCCGCTCTTTCTTTTCCGTTTTGGCTGTATTCTTCCGTGCAGAGATCATGCAGTCTCTTTCTTCTCCAGATTTCTTCGCTGCCAAGCCGCCGCCGCAAACGTCACTCCCCTTTTCCTTTTTTTCCCCTTGTACTTCCGAGACAATCTTGGCAGAGCCAGAGCTCCCTGGCCGGCAGATGGTCCCACGGGACTGACGTTGCTGGGACCCGGCGCCTCGGCTCCATCCTCAGCTCACGTTTTTAACTTCTCCCTTTCTCTCGGTTTTTTGCTCGTAGCTTACAAACGTTTTGCACCCAGGTCTCTCCCATCTGGAAACAGAAACTCATCCCGTCACCTTTGTAGCGGGAGCCATCCCATTCCCACGGGGACTGCCCTCCGAGGTCCCCAAAGATCTTTTCTAAAAAGTATGTCCTTTTTCTTGTCATGAAAGTTATTCACGTTCACTGTAGAAGATTTAGTGAACGTATTTATAGAAATAGGAAAAATATTTATCCCACTCTTACGGGATAATCACAAGGTTTTAATGTATTCTCTGCCTTGCAAACATTCTAATATTTTTGATTTGATAATACATTCTAGTGGTTCAGAAATCAAAATGAAATTTAAAAAAAAAAGGTATACATCAAAATTCTTGATCCCTGCCATGCTACAGATTACCACTTAGTGTATTGTGTTTCTAGGTAGTGTTTTATTTATTTTCTAGGCTTTTTTCTTTCTTTCTTTTTTTTAAGATTTCACTTATTTAGTTGAGACAGAGGCACACACAGAGAGCATCAGCAGGGCGGAGGGAGAGGGACAAGCAGGCTCTGGGCTGAGCAGGGAGCCCAACCTGGGGATGGATCCCAGGACTCTGGGATCATGACCCAAAATGAAGGCAGACACTTAACACCCAGGTGCCCGCTGCATCTAGTGTTTTGTTTTTAAACAAGTAAGAATACTTATTTTTCCCTCTGTCTTAATCAGTGTACTTTTTGTTCTGTTTTTATATGCATATTCATTTTCCTCCAAATTGGTATCATTGGGTAAATAGTTTTGAATCCCACTGTTTGAAGTACTGTTTATAAGTTAATTGCTGCTTGAGATCTTTTGTAATCATTGGCCAGGTTAGATGCTTTGTAGATTGGTTTTAAAAATGATAGGCCCTCACTTCTCTGTATCGTTCCAATTTTAGTATATGTGCTGCCGAACCGAGCACAATAGGTCCTCACTTAATGGAGCACGCAATCTAGTGGGGAACACAAATATTAACCAAATATTTATACAATTGTAGTGTGTGTGAATGTATGTTTGTGTGTGAGTGCACATTCTAAGAAAGGCCAAGAAAACAAGGTGCAGAAACTGTGAGCTCTATTGACACAGGGACCTTCGAGTTGAGGACCAGAGAGTGTAGGTATTTCCCAGGTGAGGGTGAAGGGAAATGGTTTACATGACCTTGGGCAATTCACCCGTGTTAAGTATTAATTTCATCATTATGAAATGGGAATAAAAGTATTGAGAATTAGATATTTCATATGAAAATTTAACCTAGTATCTAGCATATAATTAAGACTCCCCAAAGTTATCATATGTTCATTAAATAAAAATTTTTATATAAAGATAAGCCAAGGTAAGAAAATAAAAATATCTTGTAGTCCAGAGCTATTGTCATGATTATTTTGTTGATTTTCCCCTTTTTTATGGGTGTCTATGTGCATATGCAGTCAAATGCTCTACCACTGAGCTATACCCCCTCTGCTGACAGTCTATGTGCATATGATAGATTATTAACTGAAAATAAAGCAAGTTACAGAACCATACATACAATTCTTTACCTTACAGGTCCTCTTTGTAGTTTTAGTGCTACAACTAGTCATGTCACTTGTTTTCTGGTACACTATGGTCTTGTTTTTCACTGTTTCTTTACTCAACATCCTTTGAGGGCTTTCAATTGTCATAGAACTGAGTGTTTCTATGAGGAAAGTGAAATCAACAGAATAAAATACAGCACAGAGGTGAAGTAAGATAAGGAATTAGATATTTCAGTAGAGTGTTGAGGGCAAAACCTGTTTGCAATGGGTTAAGTAGTGAATGGAAGGTAAATAGTAACTACCCTTTTCTGGAAGTTTGCATGTAAAACAGAGGGTTTCAAGTTATATAAGAGGACTGAACTTTTTTGTTGACTGAGGGGAAGAGCTCATTAGACAAAGTGACCAAGATTACAAGGTACAGAGATGAACAAGGCCAGAGATGAAGGGTTGGGTCTAGGGAGCAACAGAGCTGTTGACTTTGGATTGAACCACAGGTTGACTTTGAGACCCATGGAAAGGCAGTTAAAAATGATTAGCGGGTAGGTGGAAATTTAGGTGGGGATGTGGGGGATCAAAATGGAACATTTCAGCTGGCCTCAATTTTCTTGATATTCTAAGAGGCAGGGCAGTCTTCCAAGAGTGGGAAGGTGGGGATTGAGTGGGGGATTTGAGAATGGTGATGTATAGTTGTTGAGGGGCTTTGGAGAGGAGCTGACAAAGGCCAATCATAATAACCAATGAGTGGCACGGAAGGTCTAGCTGATGTTTGGCATCACAAATCAATTGTGGCACCTGGTTCATTGTGTGGTTCTTCTTTAGGCAGATCTTCTAACTGGAATAGGATTAGAGAAGGCAGATGCATCACTAACCCCTAACTCACACCCATTTTGGTTTAAGGGAGTGGTAGCAGGGATTTTTAGTAAATCTTAAATTTTCCTTGTACCCCTGCATGATAAAAACACTTAAACTAGGAAAAGAAGGGAGCTTTCTCAACCTGAAAGAGGGCATCATACAAAAATCTCACAACTAACATTATACTTAGTGATAAAGGACTTGAAATTACCCTCTAAGATAAGAAACAGTGATGTCTACTCTTACCACTTCCACTCTGTACTGGATGTAGCCAGGACAATTTGGCAAGAAAATGAAATAGAAAGTATCCAGATTTGAAAGGAATAAGTAAAACTATATTTACAAATGGTGTGATCTTGCATATGAAAATCCTGAGGATTTTCTAAAAATTTATTAAAACAAGTTCGGCAGTGGGGCACGTGACTGGCTTAGCTGGCAGAGCATGCAACTCTTGATCTCAGGTTCGTGAGTTCAAGCCCCATGTTGGACATGAGCCTACATAACAAGACACAAGTTCAGCAAGTTTATAAGATGTGAGACCAATATACAAAAATCTATTGTATTTTATTTTTTAAGATTTCATTTATTTATTTGACAGAGAGAGATCACAGGCAGAGAGTCAGGCAGAGAGAGAGGAGGAAGCAGGCTCCCTGCTGAGCAGAGAGCCCGATGTGGGGCTTGATCCCAGGACCCTGGGATCATGAACTGAGCCAAAGACAGAGGCTTTTTAACCCACTGAGCCACCCAGGCGCCCCTCAATTGTATTTCTATACATTTTCAATACACAACCTAAAAATGGAAATTGTTTAAGAAACAATTCCATTTACTATCAAAAAGAACGAAAGAGGTAGTGGCACCTGGCTGGCTCAGTCAGTAGGAAATGCAGCTCTTGATCTCGGGATTGTGAGTTCAAGCCCCAGCCCCATATTGGGCATAGAGTTTACATTAAAAAAAAAAAAAAGAGAGAGAGAGGGGAAAAAAAGTAAAATAGTGCTTAAAAAATTAAAAAAAAAAAGACATCCCATATTCATGGGTTGGAAAACTTAATTTTGTTAAGATGGGTATGCCCCCAAATTGATCTACCAACACACTCCCTATTAGGATCTCCGCTTTCTTTACAGAAATTGGCAAGCCAATTCTTAAGTTTATATGGAAATGTAAGAGACCTAGGATAGCCAAAACAGGCTTGGAAAAGAGCAAAATTGGAGGACACACCCTTGTCAAGTTTTATTTTTCTTAACTTTTTTTTTTCTTTTTTAAAATAAGCTCTATCCTCCATGTGGGTCTTGAACTCTCAACCCTGAGATGAAGAGTCACCTGTTCTACTGACTGGGCAGGCTGGGTGCCCCCATAGTTAAAATGGCAAATTTATGTTACATGTATTTTACCATCAAAAATAAAGGAGGGGTGCCTGGGTGGCTCAGTGGGTTGAGTATCTGACCCTTGGTTTTGGCTCAGGTCATGATCTTAGGGTTGTGAGATGGAGCTCTGCATGGGGCTCTGCCCTGGATGTGGAACCTGCTGAAGATTCTCTCTCCGTCTTCCTCTGCACGACCCCGCCTTCCTGTCGCTCTCTAAAAATAAATAAATAAATACATAAATACATAAATAAATACATAAAGATAAATGAAGTACCGACACAGGCTGTACCATAGACGAACCTTGAAAATAGTAGGCTGAAAGAAGTCAGTGAGAAAGGACCGTACATAAGGCACATGGCTGGCTCAGTAAAGCATATGACTACCGATCTCAGAGTAATGAGTTCAAGCCCCACGTTGTTCGGGGAGCCTACTAAAAGCAAAAAAAACCCACACACAAACACACACTCAAGTACCATATGTTGTATCATCCCATTTATTATTATTTTTTAAGGTTTTATTTATTTATTTATTTATTTATTTATTTATTAAGGTTTTATTTAAGTGATCTCTACACCCAGCATGGGGCTTGGACTCACCAGAGATTGGGAGTCACATGCTCTTCCCACTGAGCCAGCCAGGCAGCCTCTATATGATCCCATTTAAATGATGTGTCCAGGATAGGCAAATCCAGAGACAGATAATAGATTAGTGGTTGCCTGGGACTACGGGGTAAAAGGGGAAAAAATGGGGGTGAATTTTAAAGGGGCTGGGGTTCCTTTTCGAGGTGATGAAAACAGTAAAATTGACTGTGATGATGGATACACAACTCCATCGAATTGTACACTTTCAACGGGTAAATTGCATGTTTTGGGAATCATAGCTCAATAAAGCTGTTATAAAAGGAATTTCAGTGCTAGTTATCATGCAAAA